TCAAATGTAAACACAGGGGAGGGGCAGTGGCTTCCTGCTGAGCTCGGGGCAGGAAGGAGTGGAAATTCCTACCTGCCTCCTCTCTCTTCCCCACCTGCAGGCACAGCCCCTTGACTTCACAAACAAAGCTCAGACAGAAGTCAGTGGACGCTTTACAATGACATCTGCCCCTGCCCTGGGGCCTCTGCCAGGGATGGGCCTTGAAGATAACCTTTAGCACAAGGGACCCCATTCTCAGAGGCCTCTGCCCTGGCCTACTTTCCTGGCCCCACTCTCCTCTTAAGAGCAGCTTCCATCTACAAAAGCCCAGGTAGGTCAAAAACAAAAACAAACCTGTAGGCCTCCCACACTCATAGGTTGCAAAGTCAGGTGTGTAACTCAGACAGGTCATGATTTCAGTGTCTTCCTCCATAGATAAAATAAGTGTGAAGATGGCTTGAAAACTATAAAGCACCTTTCAAGGGTCAGGAATAAATATTATGCCATTGATTGTGTATTCAAACCCTGTCTCCATCTCCTACTAGCTGGGTGGTCTTAGGCACGTTACCAAATTCCTTAGTTTTCTCATCAGAAGTGCTCACGTGGCCTATCTGAAGGCGCTGGGGGGTGGACTAAGTGTGATGATATGGGCAAGCCACCCAGCGCAGGCCCCACAGGTGGTAGAGGTTAGTTTTCTATTACTATACTTCCTCTAACCAATGACTGTAAGATGAACCATTATTTTATGTTCCACTAAGGAAGACAAACTGCTGTCAATGGACTGTGAGGCACATCTCAGATTTCAGAGATGTGTACATCATAGAAGTGATGAAATACTGTATTATTGAGAGGACAAGGAGGGGGCAACAGGAATGTCACTCTCCCCAGCAGGAGCTCTCCACTCAGGATGCATTGCCCAGATTGCCTCCCAATTAAATCAGAACCTCCAGGGTGCAGCCCAGTAATCTCTCTGTGCCTTGGTTTCCCCTTCTGTGAAACTGGGATAATTATAGAATCTACTTCTGGGGTTACATTAAATGAGTTAATTGATGGAAGTGGCTTAGAACAGTGCCAGGCCTGCAGAAATGCTGAAGTAAAGGTTGGTGATGACTCAGTTCTGTGCTGCAGGTCCTGGCACACACTAGGTGCTTTCTAGATGTTGGTCCAATGCAGTGGATATTGTCATGTGACTGCTCCCTAGCCCTCTTCCCCTACCCCCGCTGGGAGAGGTCCACTCAGGCCTCCCTTGAGGGTGGGGGCCCAAGAAGAGGCTTACCTAACCAAGGGCCTTCAGTCCAAAGTTCAAGGGAGCCTCACCCTGCCCAGGCACTTCACCCCACCCCTGAGACCACAGTGCGGTGGGCACAGCCACAGGGGACCTGCCACAGCCTCCTGGAGGCTATGACAAGAACTAAACTTCTCCCCCAGCTTCTACCCCACCCCCTTTCTGCCTTTTTTATTTTCTTTTCCATAAAGATTATTCTGTGTTGCTCCTCTATCAAGGCCTAGAGGATAAACATGTGGTCCAGAGGCAGAGAAACCCCAGGCTTGGAGGCCCCCCTGTCCCCTCCCCAGCAGCATGAACCCAGGGCTTTTAAGCAAGGAATGGTTTTCAGTAAATCTCTCCTATCAGCAGAAACCTTTGAAAGAGTTTGTTTAAAGGCCAGGGAGATAAACAGCAAGGAGAAGTGTTTGTTTAAGATGTATGTTCTGTGTGGCCACTCTGGGGCCCGGATTCACATCTAAGGGAGAGAAGCCACTCAGAGACCAGGGTGGGGGCCTCCTAGGGGCCCCTGGGGCCCTGAGTGTGGACTCCAGCCCCAGCAGGCACAAACCTCAGGGGAGGGAGGGGAGCTGGACTGCACCTGCAGGCCCCTCCTAGGCTGGGAGGGAGGCAGGGGGGTTGAAAGGAGCTGCAGGAAGGGGAAGGAGCCCTCCTCAATCCCTTAGGAGGGGAGGCCTACCCAGCAGGACCCGCCGGTTGGCCTGCAGGCAGAAACCCCACAGGGAGCCCGATGCCTCACTCCCCAGCTCAAAGTTCAGACCAGGCCCAGCTCAGGGCCCGCCCCACAGAGCCCCATACACAGCAGCCCAAACTAAATGAAGCCTTGGGTATGGGCACCACCAGCTCTGTGACCTTGGACAAGCCACCTAACCCATAACTGGAGCCCTGGTTCCTCTCTGTTGTGAAAATAACATGCCTGCCTCAAAGGGTTTTAAGTATTCAGCTTTTCATTGGACAAATATGTACTGAGTACCTGCTTTATACTAGTACTAGACACTGTGCTATGCTTGGGGTATGACAGTAAACAACAACAACAAAAAACAAGAGTCTCTGGCCTTTTGGAGCCTAAAGTGGAGCGTAGACAGTGAGCACAATGACTAAGTCATTACCGTGGCAGAAGGTGGTAGGGGCTATGGAAAGAAATGCAGCAGGCACAAGATGCTGGGAAGGGACGGTTAGGTTTGGCCTCGCTGAGAAGATGGTCTTGAAGGAGATTCAGATCTCAGAGGGGCAAGGGGCCCAGACAAAACCCTCAGCCAGGGAAAGTGCCTGCAGAACTGAATGAAATGTCCACATACACAAGCCCAGGGGCAGAGTCCTGGGGTCAGTAAGAGCCAATGTTGTTATTTCATCCTTGTTGAAACAATGGCTGAGGGCAGGGGAGATTTCAGGGAGGAAGTAGGACTTAAGCTGGGATCCCCCTGGAATTCCTTCTTACTGTCAAGGGGAGAGGAGAGAAAGCCCCTCTGGAGCAAAGTATGTTGAGTGTGGGGCGATAGCAGACCAGTGCTGGAGCTCATTCCCAAACCCGACAGGGCCTGGCAGCAAAGGCAGCTGGATTCTCAAGGAAAGCCCTCCACAGAGGTCAGGAGGCTTTAACTCTGCCCCTCCCCTGCCGAGTCGTCTGGGCAAGTTCCAGCTTCCTGGGCCTTCTTTTCCTCTCAGTAAAATGGGAATAATGTGTCCTTCTCTGGAGGATGGCTAGGAGCATGGAGGGAGGAAGGAGGGGTGTTTGTGCCTGGAACATAGTAGATGCTCAGTAAAATGTTGGATTTGTCCGGGCCCTCCCTCGTCCTTGCAGATTCCTTTCTGGCTCTTCCATGGGAGGGTGAACTAGATGGTCCAGAGCTGAGCCCACCAGGTTCCAGAATTGGAGGAGATGTTGGACAGCTAGGCATTGTCTCATGCAGCTGAAGGGCTGTCCCACTGGAGGAAGTTTAGATTTGTTTCTGGGCTCCAAAAGGGAAGGTAGGAATTTTAGAGAAACAAATTTGCATTCACACTCAGGAGGGGCCTCCCAGAGGGCAGTGCTGTTCATGGTAGACCAGACGCTTTGGACTCAGTGAGCTCCGCTGATAGGACTCCTGTGAGCAGGGGCAGCTGAGTTTTGGAGAGAGGGTAAGCAGAGGGGACCATGCTCTGGGAAACATCTGGATCCTCTGGTTTCAGGTTCCTCCCAGCTGTTGAGGATTTACATCTAGGCTCCACATTTACATCCATGCAGAGCAGCCCCCACAGTGGGCTTTCTCTATTAGCTTGTGAAAACTTGTATGGCCCGTGTCCCTGGGGTTCTGCCATGTGATAGGCCAGTGTGTCTGATGATAACTCCATGCTAAATTTGAAGTGGTCACAGATTAGCATGTTAGTCCTGCCAGGTAACCCAGGTACAGCTTTAGAGGGTCTAAGACATGTCAACACAAAGGTATGAGGGGATGGTGGGATCTCAGGCAAAGTGGGAGAGACTGAGGGACAGATAAGTTTGAGAAACCATGCCTGAGCCATTTATCAAATAATTCTTAGTACCCTCCAAACCCTTCCTACAGTGAGATTAACTTTAGCTAAGACCACAGACTGAGGCTCAAAGATTTAAAGAGCCAGAATGCCTCCCTCGGTCCCTCCTCACCAACCAGTTGAAGTGCCGGGGGCATCTCTGGACACTGCTCCCTGCCCTGTGGACACCCTGCCAAGGAAAGCCCACCCACCCATCCCCAACCCGTGCCAGCCAGCTGGAAGCCAGCACTTTTCTTTTCAAAGCCTGCGCATCTCCTTTCCCTCCTCCCCTTTCCTTCCCGCCTCCCCCCCACCCCAAAAGGAGGATGCCCCTTCTGTTGAGTACACAGCCTGTAATTTTGCTGTCAGATCTCAGCCAGGAGGTCAGTGTTGTGACTGACTGTGTAAGGATCGCTCCCTTAAGGGTAATTACACTAAATTCCCCTCTGAAGGACAGCTCTCTCTGGATAGAATACAAGGAAACCCTGCATCTCCCAGTCACGGGAATTCACGATTTCTGTCGTTGTCACCGGCATCCTGGCAGCAAGACACTTCAAGGCGCTTCCGCTGCTGGGCGGAGTCCGCAGGGTGGCAGGGCCCAGGCAGACCCGTTGAGGAGATGGCAGGGGATGGTCCAGCAGCCAGGGAAGGGGGAGATGAGGGGCCCCACTAGGAGCTGGTGCCTGGCTGGCCAGTGGGAACTGGACCAGAGTCGGGAGCATCTTCATCCTGAGCTGGGAAATTTGGGGAGCAGGAAGGCCCCCTACTGACATTCCCCTAAAAGAGGAGACCCTCAACATTCACTCATTCCTTTGTTTCCCAGGTTTGCTTTGAGCTCCCATCATCTGCGCTGCGCTGTACTGGGTGCGAAGGGGGACCCCAAAAGGGGCAGAAGCTTCTTCTGGAAAGAACAGGAGGGCCCTTGGGCAAAACAAAGCACTCACATGTGGAAGATGAATTGATATCCAAGCCCCACAGCCACCATCCCCAGGCCCCTTCCGAGGGGTGACACCCTGACCCTTGCTCCCATCTGCCCTGAGGGAGGATGGCAGGGATGTCCAAGACCTTGCAGACAAGCATCCTCACCTCCACAGCCTGACCCTCAAACTTCTCCCCACCCCAGGGAGACCCCGGCAAGAGTTGGGGAGTCACTCACCCACGACAAACAGTTAAAAGGAATAAAGCAGGTCTGGCGATATCAATGCACTTTGATAACAATAAACTCTGCTTTTAATTTATGCTAATGTGTAGGGCTGTGGTGACAGTAAGAACTAAATTACAGAGTGCCTTTCGAGCTGGTAATTATCCCTCCATTTTTCGCTGCTCTGGAAGATGGACACACAATTATGCTCTCTTGCTGTATATTAATACAGATTCTTGACATCTTCAGCAGACCTGGAGCTGTCATCGAGCTTTTTGTCTCCTTTAATTGAAAATTAATGGTTACTGGGTTGCCACGGAAACAGAGGCCATGGACGCCAATGGCGCTCATGTCTCACCAAGGGACTGGCGGCATTAGGAGTCCGGAATGACCTTGAAAGTTAAAAGAAAAAAAAAAACTTAAAAAAGAAGGGGAGAGCAAAAGAAATGAGGACAGGAGGGGTGGGAGAATGTGTCAGAGCTGAAAGAGAAGAGAGAAAGAAGGAGAGAAAGGAGAGGGAAAGAAAAGATAAACGTAATAGAAAATTGCAGATGGTTAGGAGTATGGATGCTGAACAAGGGGAAATTAAATTAGTAAGTTTCACCTCTTGATGTTTATCTCTTACCTCTCATTTTTTAAAAAAGATCTATTGGAAAAGTAGGAGCTGGGTTTCAGCTTCCAAATCCATGAGTCTACAGATCTGTATTAGGAGGAATGGCAGCATCTGCCCGCAGCCCCTGGGAGGAGGAGACAAAGGCTCCTTGGTGCCTGGGAGGCTGCAGGCAGAGCAGGGGGCAGGGCTGAGGTGTACCGCCAGGGCACTTCCCAGGGGCCAAGGGGGCTGTACTGTCAGAAATGGGGGCCAAAGAGGGGGCTGCCTCCTGGGGAGCCTGAGGAACTGCCACAACATTGCTCCAGCAATAATGAGCGGGTGAAAGGGCGCTGTAGGCTGGGCCTTCAGCTTGAAGACACAACAATAGAACTCACGAGAGTCAGAGATGGGGGCTACGAAGGGGAGGAGTCCCGGCAAGGGGAGGCAAGGGTTGGTTGCCCAGGAAGATAAGAGATAAGAGAAGCAGTTCCCTCTGCCTCCAGAGTGGCCAGTGGCTCCAGGCTTGGGAATGTCTTTATCCTAGGAGAAGTTGGCAGGATCAACGTAGGGGACCTGGGGACCTCTGAGTGTCCTGGCAGGGAAGGTAGGCTCCTTCCTCACCAGCTCACATCCCAGTATCTCAGTCCAGAGCACAGGCTCCAGAAATACAATGAAATTCAACAATTGCTGGATGTCAACAGTGAACCAGGAACCCAGCTAGAGAATCAGGTGTAGAGCCTGCCCTAGAAAATCTCACACTCCAGAATGGGGTAGACAACACGTAAACAAAAAATTACAGTTAGTCACAACACCCTCCAAAGATTTCTCTACAAGGATGTTCATCACAATGTTGTTTATAATAGCAGGACTCTAGAAACAATCTGGATGACCAATAATTGAGGATTGATAAAAATACAGTAGTCCCCCTTATCTGTGGTCATGCTTTCTGCAGTTTTAGTGACCCAAGGTCAGCTATGGTCAGAAGGCAGATGATCCTCCTTCTGACCTATCGCCAGAAGGTCAATAGTAGCCTACCACCATGTCACAATGCACCTGTCATTCACCTTGCTTCATCCCATCATGTAGGTATTTTTTCATCTCACATCATCACAAGAAGGGTGAGTACAGTATAATAAGATGTTTTGAGAGAGAGGGAGACCACATTCACATAACTTTTGTAACAGTACATTGTTATAATTTAAAATTCTATTTTGTTATGAATCTATTGGTATAATTGTTCTGTTGTTAGTTACTTGTAATTAATTTGTTATTGTTGTTAATCTTTTACTATGCCTAATTTATACATTAAACTTTATTATAGGTATGGATATATAGGAAAAATCATAGTATTTATATGGTTCAGTGCTATCTGCTGCTTCAGGCTTTAAGACTGGGGGTCTTAGAATGTATCCCCCATAGGTGAGGGGGGACTATTCTATATGCCTTACAATATACCCAGAAGATGGTGCACTATATAGTCATTTCAAATCATGTTGGAGAAGAAAATTTAATGACCTAGGGGGAAGGTCCTCACATTTTGTTTGGTTAAAAAAAACAGTTTATGTAATGGTAATAATATATTCATGATTTCATGATTCTGTTTCTAAAGTTTTTGAGATATGTGTACATTAAACCTGGTATGCTGTAATAAAAAGTTGCATATGTATGTGTAAATGTGAGTGTGTAAATATGTGAGTTTGTAAATGTGAATGTTCGTATGTATGAGTGTATGAATGTGCGTATGAAACAGTAAAATCTTACCACGGTTATTGCTGAGTGATGGCATTATGGCTGAATTTTATCTCCCTTTTTATGCTTTTCTGTATTTTCCAAATTTTCTACAATAAATATATATAAGTATTACTGATAGAGAAAAAAAGGTGTCTTTGAAATTAGCTTCTCCAGAAACCAGTCCCCTAGAGATAGAAATCCCCAGCCAGGAGTTACACACACACACAGAGAACAGGCCTCTGGCCCAGGTGCTTCCCTCAGAAATCAGCCTCTGCAGTCCCTCCCCTCAATTACCGGGACCCCATCCCAGGCTCTCACTCCCACCCAGACCCTTCCCCACCCCCACCTGTAGTCAGGGTGTCCAGAGCTGAGGGGAGGGGCTGAGGACCCTCAGGAGGGGTTATGGGGGGCAGGGCAGGCTGAGCAGGTCCTGAAGCACACAGCTCTAGAGGCCAACAATGACCACTCCTTGATCCTGTGTGAATCTTAATCTCAGCTGAGGCCCAGAGAGGTTAACTGATTTATGCCAAGTTGCAAAGTTGGTGGGTGGCTGAGCTGGAAGCCAACCCCAGGGACTGTCTGCCTCCAGGTGTGTATCCTCTGCAACCTCCCTCACCGGGTCCAGAAACCCCAGGTCCAGCTGGAAGCCTCTCTGAATTGCTTGGATTTCTGGCATAAGCCCCATTCTGGGAAGGTCACCATGATAAACAGCATCTTTTCTTAGTCTTTGTACCTTTGATTTGCCCTGGACAGGGCTGGGAGAGAATAGTCATGCTACCCTTAATTAGAGCAGGTATTTTGGAGAAAGACTGGCTGGGAGTGGGGCTCCTGGGAAATGCATCCTTTCCATCTCTCAAGAGATACATTCTTAAGTTCCTGCCCCTCTCAGGCCCCACACTCACCTGGCAAACAGGAGCTCTGTTCCTCACCCCCAGTTCACTCTTTCACTTGGGGCCAAATCTCAGTCTCCAAAATCAGATTCCACACTCCCTTCCTCTGGGAAGCTTTCAGGCAATTAATTTTATGTTGCCAATATTATTCTTTTACTCTGCCGCCTGATAATAAGTAAAACTACCCTCATTGTACACACCCTCTGTGGCAGGCCATACTCCATGTTCTTTTCAGGCATTCACTCCATCTTCTTAACCTTGTGGGGGGATGCTATTTTCACCAAATGAAGCACAGAGTGGTTAGCTGACTTTCCCAAAATCACACAGCAAATCAGTGGCAGTCAGAATTTGAACCCTGGCAGTCTGAGAGCAGAAGCCACACTCTTAACCACCACCACCCCACCGCCAATGACAATGCAAGGGTATGAGGTTTCACTAGAATTCCATTCCACTGGGTGACCTGGAATTCAGTAGCCCAGTTTGACTGGGCTCTTGTGACAGTTCACTGATCAGGGCAATGGTCTTTACCCAGAACAGAGGATCTTGCATTTGTAGGCAGGTGGAAACAGGCTTGTCCCCATCATCTGGAGCACATATCACATCTGTCACATTGACTTGGTCAATTCTGTCCTTACTGGTCCTGCTACCAGAACTCAGGACAGTCTCTGCACCTGGGGAAAGGTTCACAGAGCAGCAGGCTGGCCAGCCGGGGACAGTCACTGGGGAAAGGTTGCAGATGAAGCCCCCCATGCCGCTACCTACCCGGACTGAGCCCTGGAAACAGTGGAGGCCTGGCATCTTCTCCTCTCCACCACCCTCCACCCCTGCTGTTTGCCCTTCTTTGCTCCTCCCCATCCTCCCCCACCCTGCCTCACCCCTGCCCACTTCCCTATCCACCCACTTTCCCAGAGTGAGAACAAACAAGAAGACAAGCCTAGCATCAGTGGCTGCAGTGGCAGCAAGGGGTGCAGGGAGCTTGCCTTCATTTCCCGGCTTCCCTGATCCCGACCTTAATCCCCACTCAGCATCCTGTCAGCCGGGTTGTTCTCAAGCTGACATTGCTGCAGGCGCCTTCTCGCCAGCCTTTCCTCAGATCTGCCTCCTCTGGGGACTTCTAAAGAGGAGCCAGAGGTTTCTCTGCTACAGCCGGCTTCACACACTGCCCTCAAGCAAAGCCTGGCTCCCAGGGGCCTCGGGGAGAGGGGGCAGCAGGGGCAGTGCCAGGCCTGGTGCTTCCAAGGAAGAGGGAAGGACAGAAGTGGCTGGACCCCAGAGGGTTCTGGAATGACAGTCAGACCAGGGGCAGGAGCCCAGCCCATGCTGTTGGGCTCCTCAAACAGGGGGAGCCTTGCTCAGGTGTGTGGGGCTGTGACGGGAAAAGAGGCTGGAGTCCAGGGAATTCAGGCAAGGGTGAGTTCTGGCTGTGGAGGAAGAGGTGAGGACTGCGATTTTCTGAGTCTGTTGGGAGATCACAGTTCAGGGGTGGTTTGGAGAAATGGGCAGCTGGGGCCTGCACCATATGAGTGTGCATGAAAGAAAATCCAAGCATACACATTGATCAGCTGACTTCCTCAACACCTGTGATGTTCTGGATGCTGGGAGAGAAAAAGGAAAGGCACCCTGGTGAAAGGGGTAGAGCGTGAACTTGGCTTGAGATGGGTTGCTATCCCAGCCCAGCTCTTCCACAGAGTAGCTTCATGGCCTTGGGCCAGTCCCTTGGCTTTTCTGAGCCCCATTTTTCTCACCTACAAGGTGGAGACTGGGTTATAATAAAAGCTTCCTTGCAGGATCCCTGGGATGTTTAGAGACATGTGCAGAGCACCTGGGGTTTAGAATGATTTTTACTATACATGTCACTGTCCACAGGGGACATTAGACTCCAGAGTTTCATCTGGATCTTCATGAATGGGGGCTCTGCATGCAGGGTGCCTGTGAAAATGCTGAGTCTCCACGTTTGAAATCAAGGTCAGGCCACAGCCGGAACAAACACCCAGGGCAGTGAGTTCTGGCCAGCCTGCTGCTTTCCCCAGAGTCCACGCCCATCCTGCCAGGGACACAGGAGGTTCCTGGAAACCCAGGAAGGGGCTCCCAAGACCCCAGGTGCTCAGCTTCCTGTCCTGCGCATGTGTCTCCAGGCAGAGAGCTCTGAAATCCACATGCAGGCTGGATGGGCTTTGTGAGAGTCCAAGGCAAGAGGCTGGGCAAGTAGCAGAAAAGTTGCCTCCCCTTCCAACTTCTCCATTCCACAGGTGGGAAGGAGTCCTAGACGGAGGTTCTGGATTCAGTTCCTCTAGCTCCTCAACACAATCCCTCCCAAAGCAGTAAAATGAGCCCTGGCTCCTCCTATTGCCAGCAACTGCACAGCTGGTGACTACAGGCAAGTTATTGAACTTCTCTGAGCCTAGGTGTCCTCCTTAGTAAAATGGGAATGTTACTGTTTGTCTGTGCTGTGGTGCAGTAAAAACCAAGCAACACAGGTGAACCATCTAGAACAGTTCCTGTCAGGTGGCAAGTGCTTGAAAACATGCAAACCGCCCTGGTTGGCAAAAGGTTTTGACTCAGGGTGAGGCATGTCTGTATGAGCATGACTTGGTAATAAAAAATAGAATGTTGACAGTGTTTTAGGTTTCAGAAATGGGTATGAATGTCAAAAAGTCAAAGCAGCAGATCAAGAAGTCATATCACTATCCTTGGCACCTAATAGATGTTGGTACATTCTCATTTTTTCTTTCCCTCCTGCCTCCCTTCCTTCTAACCAAAAAAAAATATTTTCACCCTTCTGACCAATTCATTCCAGCCCTTTGGGGGAAGTCAGATTCCCTGCTGACCTAACCATAATGCTTCCTTCTCATCTTTGGGGACAGGGGTTCCTCTGGGACCCACTTAGGGCACCATTGTCTCCAAGTCTTTGAGAAACCACCCGTTTCAGAATTCCCAGGAACTTGTCAGCAAGGCCGATACTTGAACACTCCCCACCTGCTGAGTTAGCATTGAGGGATGTGCCTGGGTGTCAATGTTTAATAAGTTCCCTTGTGATTCTGACACCCACTAAATTCGAAAACCACCTCCTTGACTCTTTCCCCCACCCCCGACCCATGCACTAGGTCCATAGTGTGTGCCCTTATATTTGTTACACAGTGTTTAAAGTCCTTGTCATGGGAATGTGGTCACTGCTCCCCTAAGCCAGGAGATACCTTGCCACAGTCCTGCAAGGACTCTAAAGCCCCTGGGCAGGATTGAGCCCATGGTACCTGTACACACACCTCCGCCACGGTTGGCAGGAGCTGGGACGGCTCCGTCCATCTCCCACAGTGGACTCTGGATTCCTAGAGTTGGTGTACCTCCAGGTTTCCCCCATAGGTGGCCTGGGATGCCACTGGGGCTCCATCCATGTCAAACAAAGCGTGGGCTCCCTGCGCTGGCATTCAGAGAGACAGGATCAGGAGGGCACAGGTTGCCTCCACGCTTTCCAAGATGTCTCTGCCCTGGGGCTTCAGGAGCAAGAAAGCTTTCTGCTACTTTTTCTCTCCCTGGAGGGTCCCACAAATGATGGATGCCTTAGTGTTAGGGGAAGAACTGGGAGTGGCCACATCTCAGATCTCTGACAGCTCACATCCCCTGACATTCCAAGCCCCACACCCTGTAACTACTCCCACCTGCCTTAGCATGAGTTAAGTTGACCAGAATTCTATCAAGGTGCCCCTGGGAGAAGGGAACAGTGGGACATGTGAGTCTGAAGTCCTCGCCCTTCACAAGCAGTCAAGCGGACCATGGCAAGTCCCTCCCTCAGCTGCCTCACCTAAGAAGCAGCAGCTCAAAGTTGTGAGGGCGCAAAGAGACCAGGAACATAAAAGTGCTAAGTGAACACCAGGTATGGATCTTGTATTCATTCGTACTTTGTAGAATGAATCCTTTTGAACTCTGTCTACAAGCAGGCTCAGGCTACCTAGGAAGCCCCTAGTCCCACTGCCTCCTCTCAGGGAGTCCTCGGCTAAAGCTGTCTGGCTCTTAAAACAAGTCCATCTGTTTGGGGTGCTTCGGAGACAGCAGGGAGGGGCCTCAACCACTCTAACTGCTTCCAAAGCGGTGGAGTCTAGAACCCCATTCGAAGGCAGCCTGGAGCCATGAAGTCTGCCGGAGGGTGTGGGGAGAGGCAGGGAGGGGAGGCACCAGGGCAGGAGGACTCTGGGAGCCAGATCCCGAGACTCCCATGGGCGTGAGAGCAGAAACCCAAACCCTGGCCCCCCAACCCTGCCCCCTAAGCCACCGTCCGGAAAAAATAAACTATTTCCTGCAACCAGCTCCGAAACAAAGTCTGTGAGTGAGCTGTGACACATGTTACATAAATAGAAGCCGCAGAGGGGAAAAGCCTGTTTTCTCTTTCATTATTTATCACTCTCTAACCATCTCCAGCTGGGTGAGTAAACAGGCGCGTTGGCCCATAATGAGGAACAGGCTGCCGCGTGGGGCTGCAGAGGGGCGCAGGCCAGCGGAAGGGCAAGCATGATGTGTCTGTCTGTCTGTCTGTCTGCCCCGAGAGACAAGAGTCAGAGTCTGCAAAGGCACTGGGAGCACCTGATTCCAGCAGCGAGCTGCTACCCACCTGATGCCCTGGCCAGGGTGGGGCACAGTTGGGGACCGGGTGTGCTGGATGGAGGAGGTGGCAGATGTGGGTGGGAGAGGATGTGAGAGGCACAAGCTCAGTGTGAGGCTGCCAGTGTGCTGGGTCTCAGTGTATGACCCTGTGGGCCGGCCTCTGAGTGTGGCCAAAGGGATGTGTGGGAGCAGGGCAGTGTGAGGCTGTGTGAACTTCGACTGCAAGGGGTGTGGGGAGCCATATGTGAGTCGGGGAGGTTGGGGGAGGGGGTATATCTGGATGGTGCAGCTGCATGTGTGTGTGTGGGGGGGGCATGGGAGCATGTGAATGTGTGCGTGTGATCCTGGCTGTGTATATACAGGGTTGTGTGATGGTGTGAGCATGCATGTCATGTGACTTTGATAGTGTGTACGTCTGTATGCCACTATGGGAGTATGGAAAGCACATGTGAGATTTTATGGCCCTAAGGTGTTGTTATGGGTTGATTGTGTGTCCCCACCAAAAAGATATGTTGAAGTCCTAACCCCCAGCACCTCAGAATATGATCTTATTTGGAAATAAGAGTTGTTGCAGATGGACTCGGTTAAGATGAGGTCATACTGGAGTAGGGTGTCCCCTAATGCAATGTAACTAGTGTTCTAATAAAATATGTCCTCTTGGAAAGTCCTCTCTGTGAAGATACAGGGAGACATGTCCATGCGAACATGGAGGCAGAGATGGAAGATGCACCTACAAACCAAGGGACACCTGGGCCAGGAGAAGCTCTCAAGAGGCTAGGCATGATCCT